TTGTCTTTGTGAATTCGAAAAGTTTTGTGCTTTGTTGTCCCTTTATCTTGTATCTATTTATATTATTATATACGTGAACACTGAATTTGGTGTCTAAAAGCAAGGTCTGACCTCAAGAATCTTGGGTTTCATTAAAAACATACTTACCATTTAAGCAACTAACATATTATGATATTAATTTCTTTATTATTTATTTTTATTCTTATTTATCTTAATTGCACACGCATTGTGTGTGCCACCCACTAGTTCATCTTTTATTTAAAAGAAAAGAAAGAGTGCACTCGGTTATTATGGAAAAAACTGTGGTACACACCTTTAGAGTGTGTACATATGTAACTTATAATTAAAAAGAGTTATGCTAGGGATCCCAAATGAATTACCAAATATTCTATCAAACCTCTCACATAGGTCTGGTACCCACACGCAATTGATTTGTGTACGTCGCACACCCATTTGAGAGGTTTGGTAGAATATTTGGTCATTCATTTGGGGTCCATAACATTTTTCAATTAAAAAAGAAAATTATATAATTTCATACTTTTTGAGTCATAACTTAAAAAAAAGAAGAAGTTATAACCAAATACCACATGAGACATAATCAAAAATTTTATGAGCATAACTAAAATATTGTCATAACTAAAAAACAAAATGACTAAGGATGCATAATATAGTTAACCTAAACATCAATATTTTCAACCTCAATTTTTTAGTCCAAAAAGACAAAAAGTGCACTTATTTAGGACACCCCAAACAACCCCAAAAATAAAAATAAAAGAGTTTTACACTCTGTCAATTAGAGGAAACAGTTTGGCATAAAGTTGTCTTGAATTCGAAAAGTTTTGTGATATTATCCTCCTTTTATTCATCTTTTATTTAAAAGAAAAGAAATATATTGAATTTAAGTATTTGGTTTCGACAATTGTTAATTGCTTTTGTTGTTGTGTGTTTGCACTCGAATATATGTGGGAGTTTTCATTGTTTTTTATTATGGCTATCTAATGGTTCATGGACTTCTTTGTGGGTTCTAACAATACATTTTATGATTTACCGTTGGTGCTTGGGGCAAGAAAAGAAAAGATGCAATCTGCATTACACTTGCTGATGACACTTGTGATCAACCAAAGATTAGGATGAATAATGTTGTTATTACTCCATCATTTAAGGTACCCTCTCTCTCTCTCTCTCTCTCTCAAATTCTTTCTCTATTTCTTCTTTGCCTTTGTTTCTTCTTGTTTTTCGATTTGAATCTACTCCTAGAGTAATGCTAATTTCATTGCTGCTTATAGCATAGCTAAATTAGTTGGAGTTTGGAAATTTCCATCATTCTTTAGGCTTTTGGAGTCCAAGACATATGTTGAAATGACATCCACATCTGAAATCAAGGTTTCTATTGCCTTGATGATAAATCTGAATTTCCCATAATTTTAATGCTACCTTAAAACTATTCGGGCGAAACACATTTCCTTTGATTTTATAATGGGAGAAGCAACATGACAAAACCAGAATGACAGTGACTCCCCCTGCCAAATACAGAGAAGATATATTTAGTGAATTCAGGACCTAGCACAAAACTGCAAAAAAAATAAAATAATAAAATGAATTGAAATGGAAGAATTAACCACAGGAATTAAAAGAAAGCTGAACCATTGGCTTGTTGTCACAACCAAGATGAAGAAGCACGTAAAGTGAACGGAATTCAGCTTCATTCTCATAAATGGACTGGATATTTCGATTTGCTTCATAAAGATGATATAGAGAAGTCAGAGCCTTCGTAAGCTGTTCCATGTTGAGATAATACTTTGAAGAAATATTTGGACTGTTACTACATCTTCGAAGCTTGTGGTGCGATATGACATGAAATTTAACCTGTATAATGAAATATATTGTGAGTCTGCGTTCATAAATGTGCATGGCTGAAGTACAAAAAAAAAAAAAGAAAAAGAAAAAAAATTACTTATAATAAATAAATAAATAAACAGGTTTGATGTATTGTAGCTTGAAGATTCATAAAGACATGATTTTCAGGTATGGTGCATTTTGGTATCCTGTACAACAATATGCACAATTTTTAACGCAGCCTCAACAAGAGAAGGACAAAAAAAGCCTAATGAAAATTTTCAAGGAAATATTAAACTGTTAACAAAATAGAGTTGAACGTTCCATCAGAAATGAAAACCTGTTAAGTTGTGTCCTGCAGTTCAGCAGAAACAGCATTAATATCTGTAGTTCCTTATTTATAAAACTTTTAGGCAGTTTTGAAAGAATAGAATCTATCAAGTTTTAGGAGCAAGCATGACAAAAACACATCACAGAAAAAAGAAAATAAAGAAACTGAACTCACACTTGAGACTGCAGCACAAGAAACAATCCTCATGGAAAATTCATGATATGACCACTTCCACAACAAAAATAGCAAGTGCGAACTTATCAAAGATGTTATCATCCTTTACCTCAACTATAGCCACACCAAAAAAAATTTCAGTTCCCAAATCTTTGATCCTGTTAATCATTAGACTCTGCAAGGCAGCCTTTGACAAACTTGTGTTGGAACCAAGATGCAGACGTGTCAATATTTACATTAGGTCTCGACTCTCAACATGTCCAAACATCACCAAACATAGGCAATGTTGTCTATACATGACTATTGCATAGTCAAAAAGGAAATTACCCAATGTTGGTTCTGCAATAATGGGTGATGGGGGAGGTTTTCCGTTTTATAAGTTTAGGCATCGAAGGGGATGCAATCTGTGTACAAAGGTTAGACCATGATAACATGAAGCATTCAAAACAAAAGAGGTCTATACACTCAAAAAAGAAAAGGCCGATAACTCTTTACGTCTGTAGAAAATCTAAAAAATCAACAAATTGATCAAGGCTAGGTGTAACTCTTCAAGAAATCCAATTATATGAAGTAGCCAGAAATAACTTTTGAGCCTAATGAAAAGCTCCTCCACTCCTTGAAAGGTACTCTTATTTCATTCCCTCCATAACAGCCAAAGCAAGCACAACGAAGAAAGAACCTTCCGCCTTTGCCTCATGACCCGACCTCCCCACCACTCAAACATAACCCCTGAGACATCTCTAAGAAATACCCACCACATGCCGAACAAAGACAAAACCAAAGTCCAAAACTCCGTCACCACGTCACAATGAATGAGCATATGACAGACTCTCTCCTCATCACACTACTAAAAAGCACCAATTTACTATATCTGACATTTTCTAATAAGATTATCAATGGTGAGAATCTTCAAATAAGCTGCATTCCAAAAAAAGAAAGCCAATTTGAACAAGGCCCTTACAAACCAAACACCTTACCAAGGGAAAGTCACCCCTACTCTTCCCCTCAATAAAGCTTCATAGAGGGACGTGACATCAAATCTCTAATTCCTATTTCCAGGCCACAGGCCACAACAACGAATCACCCTCTCCAATGCCCCTAAACTCAAATCCCAAAAGACATCAGAGACCACTCTCTGAATGTAGTTCCCCATTGTGACTTCTGTATCAACAGCCAAAAAGATGGGTGGGCAGACTCTCCACAATTACTCACCACCACACCTGTGATGCCAAAACATCACCCTCTCACCTCTCCGCCTGCACCTGACAAGTGTCAAAAAAAATCATCCCATACTAACTAAATACCATTCCAAACCCCCATGAGAGGTAGAGACCTCTAATTTCGTCCAATCACCCCACAAAGAACCATATTTTTCCACCACCACCCACCTCCAATATATATCCCTCTCACAAGAAAAACAAGACAACCACTTCCCCTCCTGCTTACCAAGGAATCCCCCATCTGAAGGGAGTCATCTCCCTTCTCACTCTATCCTCCATCAGGGCCATAAACCTTTGAGAACACCAAATAAAACACATCCCCCACACATCTAAATAAGCAAGAGATAGAGAACAAGCCCACCTCCTCCTCTATTTCCCCCACTATCCTATCCCATAACAACAAAATGCCCCTACATACCCTTCACGAATTCAACCATCAAATCTTCTATTTTTGTTTCTTGGATATACACTGCATCTGCCATTCAACCTCGAAGGAGAGATTTCACCCCCAACCCCTTATCATCCACACTCAACCCTCTCACATTTCGATGGATAATGTTAATCGTCATTTGACAATCACCAAAGAACCCCTTCTTCACCTGCTCCCAACACTTTGGGAGGGTAGACTACATCCAGATCAAACTCACAAATTAAATGCACAAAGAGGTTGTCTTTAAACTTGTTCCCAGGTTTCCATACTAACATTCTAAATAGGCTTTAAAAAAATAATCCCCAAAAATAAGTGCAAAGTCCACACCAGAGCTTAGATTGGTAAAACATCAAATATTAACTACACATTATTCAGTCATTTATGACCCAATGACAATTGATCCTGTCAAAAGATATATATATCAGATAAAAGACAATGATATAATTTTGCCCCATATGGAAAAGAAAATTTAGTCTTATATGCAAACACATCAGTTGCCTATGTAGTATAACATTTGGTTCTACCTCACTACAAAATCCTGCATCTACCATGCCTCCTTTTGAAGAGCACAGACGGAAGTTATTAGAAATTATCTATTGACGGCTAAAAGGAAACAACACAAGTACTTGAAAAAGCTTTCCTAAATTTAATGTCGCATCATTGAATAAAATGAGATTATAAGCCATTCCTCCGAACTACTGCCCCCCAAAAGAAGAATATTGTGAATTCTCAGTTAAACATAGTAACCTCAAAGATGACAAATTAATTTCCCATAAACTATTTCAACATTAACTACGAGGCACCAACACTTCAAAATAGGTCTCGTAACCATGTTAGACACGTACGTGCCTCATTAGGATATGCTATGGTACAGGATGAGGTTTTTAGTTTTTCAAAGCTAATTTTGGGGGTCATATTATAAATTTTTGGAAACATTAGAGTTGAATTTAATATATATATATATATAACTCACATCAAACCATCGACAACACAACACAATCTAACCATATATGTGAAGTTGAGAGACTAACTTCTAACAATCCCTGGAGAAGGATTTAAATTCCGGTATTGGTAGTTACGTATTGGGATTTTGAACTTTTGATACTGTTATTCATCAATATATAGGCCAATATTGCCAGAGATTGTTAGATATTGATATATAACCATATCACCGATACTAATAAATATCCCAATATCGCTGTTTAAAACCATGTTGGAGCCTAACACAACAAAGATTTAAGGCTTGTTTGGTTTGTGTTTGTAGAGTAATTTTTGAGATAAAAAGTACGAAAACTTGTTTGGTTTGCCTTTTTTCAGAAATGGTTTTGAGAAATTGTTTCGGGGAGAGAGTTCTAAAAAAAGTGATTGATTTGATTTGTATGAGAGAGAGTGATTTTGGAAAGAAGCAAACCAAACAAAATTTTGAGATTTTTTTTGGAAAAATTTGTTTGGTTTGATTACTCTTGAAAATTTGTTTGTAGAGAATTTTTCCTAAAAATTTTTCCCAAAAACAAACCAAACAAGCCCTTAGTCTTTGGTTAATTAAAATTGAGCTTGCTTTTTATGTTAACTTAGTATTAGTTTTGGTTGTTTATGGATGTAATATTTATACACATAGCAAATTTAAAATAAATAAATAAATAAATGTTGTAGGGGTGATCATTGGTTCAATGGTAAAACCTTGGCTTAATAACCTTGAGGTTATAGGTTCAAGTCATGGGGCAACCACTTAGTCCACTATGCCAAAGGTTAAGTGTGTACCCAATCTTTCCCCTCCTAAACACACACTAATGTGTACTAATGGGGCGTTGTTTTGAAATAAATAATGGTTGTATTCCTACCTTGTTCATGTCCTGATTTTATTTTTTTAAATCGTCCTATCCTGTGTCCATATTCGTGCTTCCTAGAACATGAATGAGGAATCCAACATGTGAACTTCAAGTTCAAAATGTTACAAAAGTTAAAATGTCTTAATGGTTGTTAAAATCTTGCGATTCACGATTCACGATTCACGATTTGATTCATACGATTCGATACAAGTGTCAACAAAAATGATTTGTTTAGTGCTATTGAATCTTGAATTGAGTGAACTATACGATTCGATTGCGACTCACTATGATTCTATTTTGTTTGCATAATGCATGAAACAATGTCGTTTTTACAAAATTACAAAAGAAAAAAAAGAAAAATATTTCAACTAATTATATTGATATATGTGGTTTTGCATGTATATACAAATATGCAATTTCATCATATTGATATTTATTTCATTTTAAACACTGTATTTTTATATGTTTATATACATACGTATACATATAATTATTATATATTATGCTAAATAAAGTGAATCTCACAATTCACGATTCACTATTTTAACAAAACGATTTGTGACTTGACAACAATTGGTTACATGGAGCACCATTAGACATAAATCTTGTTTGATGAATAGCAAAGTTTTGTTGGAATAAGAAAGGGCATGAAACCCACACAGACGTCGAGCTACAAAGCATGAGTATGGGTACTAGTACGATACAGGTACATGAATACGGTAAAATCCAAAAAAAAAGTAAGACACAGGTATGACTTGGTATGTTTGAAAAAAAATATAGCTTGCATGTTTTTGGTTTTCCAAAAACACTTTTCAGAAAATTCTACTTTCTTGTTTTCTATTTTTTTTTTTTTTGTTTTTACTAAATTTTTTTAATATTTTAAGCAATTTTTTTAATTTTAGACACACCTAACATAACTACACATAAAAAGTATAATTTTTGTGAAAAACATCTTTTAAAAATTCACTAAATACCAAAAATACAAAAAAAATAAAATAAAAATAAAATACGAGAATTTAGTATATTTTTTTGTATTTTTATGTATT